CCGGGGCGTGCGCCGGGAGGAGCCGCGGCCCAGCCGTGCCGAGAGGCTGCCGGGATGGGCGCCATGGCCGCGGCGGGCAGCCCGGAGGTACGGAGCGCGGCGCCCGCGGGGCTTGGGGCGCGGCGCGTGGGGCTGGGCCGGCGCGGTGGTACAGTCCGCCCGCGCCAGCGAGGGCTGCGCCACCTCCCCTGCCGGCGGAGGAGCGCCTCCGCGCGCTTCCGTAGGGCGCCGGGGTGCCGTCCCGTGCCCGGCTAGGCCGGCAATGGTCCCGCCATCGGATCGCGCCCGTGGCGGGGCACCGCGGCGCTGCGCCCGTTCCACCGGGGAGCCCAGATGGCGCGGCCGCCCGCGAGAGGAGCTGCAGCCCGGCAGGGAGCGCCGCGGGCTCGGGGCTCTCCGGGGAGCGCCGCGGCCGTGGAGCCCCATTCCGTGCCCGGGCGCGCCCCGGATCCAGCCCGGAGTCGGGCGGGCTCCCGGCGGGGGGAGGCGCAGCCCGGCAGAGACGAGAGCGCGCTCCGTCGCGCAAGGCTGGGGACGTTTCTCCCCCGCGTGCGCGGGAGGTGCGTGTTTTCCTGGACGGCTGGTTTCTCGGTGTTGTCGGGAGGGGGTTTGGGAATAGCCGTCGCCTCCGTCGCCCCGAAAGCAAAGCTGGAAGCGGGGCAGTCCGTGCCGCGCAGGATGCCACCCCCTCCGGTTCCCGGAGCCGCTTCTGGGACGCGCATCTGTGCAGGGGGTGCTGGGTTGGCTTCGTGCCCAGGTGGGACTTGGGTGGGGGGCGGGTCGGGGGCTTGGTCTGCGAAGGCACCGGGCGCATCTGCCTCGCTTCGGGAAGCCGGCTCTGGCCAGCCCGGGGCCCGGAGCGGAACCGTTGGAGAACGCACTTCAAGGCTAGAGACGGTTCCAGACCGCGGCTAGATTTTATTTTCCAAAATGCTGAATTGGGCATTGCGGCTGGAATTGTCCGGCATCCTTTGTATGTCGCTGTGCGGGCGCCAGTGCCCAAGACTGGGCCCCTGGCTCCAACACAGGGCACCTTCGTGGCCCAGGAAGGGCTGGTGGATGGGTTGCTTCCTTTCCTTTCTCCAGTGCTGCTGTGTGCCCCCCCAGAGGGCCGCCCGGAATGCAGTGGGCAGCCTAAAGAGATCCAGCACCAAGGCCATCACTGCGCCCCCCCCCCCCCTTTGGCTCCTCATCCTGCCTGATGCAGAGTTTCGGAGAACCCGAGAGCGTGCTTGCTATTTTGTAAACTGCTGGTTGGTCCCCATCAGCCTATTTTCCCTGTTGTGGATTTTGGAATTTTTCTTACAGTCCGCCCTGGCCATCTGTGCTTTGCTTCATCTTTTGAGAATTGCCTGCACGCTGTTCTGAGCTCTGTCCTGGTAGGACATGAACATTCTCATGAAATATTATTTTCATGAAACATGAAAATAATATAAAAATGAGAGGGGCAGAAAATTGGCAGTGTGAGGTTTCGGCATTAAAAAGTGGGCCTTGGGGTTAAAGCAAATGTGCGTTTATCGCAGGCAGTGTTGCTTTTGCAGTGTTGCCTGAAATATCTGGAGTTCAAGGATGTGACCTCCGTCGGCTGTGCTGGCCGGGATAACGGGAGTCGTAGGTCCCAGCTGTGTGAGGGCACCAGCTCTGGGAACTCTGGCCAAGTTATCTTGTAGTTTTGCCTAGAATTTCTTACTGACTCTCACGTTAATTGGTGCTTTTTCTCCCTTAAACATGCCTGGAAAAGTGAGGTTCACGGAAGCAAGTGCAGATTAGGTTCCTTCTAACTTATTTTCCTATTCCTAAAGGGATCACAGAATTCCCATCCCTTAATCCTCCAATGGGAGTAGGTAAAATGGGTATTCTCATTCCCAGCAAGAAAAGTTGCACAGAAAACAGGTACTGGCATATTAGCTGGTGTGATGTACACTAGTTTTGTTTTCTTCATTGCTTGCCTCAGTGCGACGGAGAACAAATTACTACCACTAAGAAACGCAACCCCAGGCTTCTTCCTCAGTTTATAGTAGGACATGGATAATTTCTCTATCTCTTGGTGTAGGAACTTTCAGCTCATGCTAGGCTGCTAGAGGAAATTTCCAGTGATTCTACAAAAGCCGCTGCCTAGCTGAAGGGAAAAAACCTAGTATATTTGAATCCAATTAATTTTTCTTCACATTGGATAAAGATAGTGAGGCTTAATCATGTAGGTTTAGATCCATATAACGTCTTTAATTGGGTTTGGAGGTTTCCAGATCACTTTGGCCTTGAGAAAGGAGGAGAGGCTGCTTTTAAAGGAGGGTCAAATCTCCGAGCACATGGAAGGTACTACCTAGACCATAATTAAGGTTTAATCCATGCAAACAGCAGATGGGGAAGTTGTTTCTAGATCTGGGGTCTCCCACTGTTTGGGACCTGGTGTGTATTTGGGAATTTCGGAAGCCACATAAAGCGTTGGCACCAGCCTTTCGTGCCCATGGTTCTTACCTGCAGCGGCTTCATCAAAAGATTGTTTCATATCTGCTGAAAAGCAGAGCATGTTTCTAGGAAGGGCCTGAAGTGCATTTCAGCCACTAGTGCGATGCAGTCGATGCCTCTTTTACACACATATTTTGCCTCTCTTTGTGGGGAAGTTAATGGCACAGATCTAGCGCTGGGACGGTCTTTAAGATTCGCTGACATGCAGGTTCTGACCAGCTTCGTGGAAATTAACACGTAGAAGGAGAAATCTCTGTGCCATTTTGAGAGCGTATTACAAAACTGGAGGGATAAACTAGAAAGTGGTGGATTAAGGGCGTATAGACATCACAGTAAAATGGAAAGCTGTTTGCATGAAAAGTTCTGGTTTTGTTGAAACTCCTGCATAATTGCTAGGAAGTTGAACGCATTTTCTACAGATCTGTTTATTTAGCATTGAATTTATAATCCGCTTAATCAGTCATCCAGCAGGACTCTCTAAGCAGATATACAAAGCACATGAAAGCAAAACAAGACATGACAATAAAAACAATATACACAACAAAACAATCGACCCATGATAAACAAACACCATCGTAAACACAAACCATGACAATATGCAATGAGTATAGAATATAATGTTTAATGTATACAGTATGCAGCTGAAAGTTGTATGTGTAATAAAACAATGCTTGCATATTTAAACAATGGGGAGGGATTAAATAAAATTTAAAAAAATGTTTAGGACCCTTGCATCAATGGCATTCGAGCCAGCAAATGCGGCTAGAATGTAACTTTGTGGGTTCTGCATTAGGGCCTCCCTAAATTGTGAAGGACTGACAGTTTTTTAATTAAAAGCCTTTCTATCCCATCCCCTACAGAACGTCTTGGGACAGCTTACCATAGACTTGCAAATTGTAGCTTTGTTTCCTCCCTGATATGGCAGGATATTTTTATGGGGAAAGACACAGTTCTTCAGATACAGTCTGAACTCTCACGAATCAAACCTATTGTTTTAGCAAGAACGATGCTCTCCTTTTTTAATGGCATAGCTCTGCAGAAATTCTTTCCACTGGGGCCACGTTTTAAAATCCACAGAGCTTTTCGCTTCCTTGTGGGTGTTGTGAGCTCAGATCAGTTAACAGAATGGCTCTGTCTGCTTGTAAAGTGGATCGTTCCCCGTTTCAGGCACCGGTGAAGTTTGAAGATGTCATTGTTTATTTCCTCAAGGATGAGTGGAAGCTGTTGGAACAGTGGCAGAAGAACCTGTACTGGGAAGTTTTAACAGATAATTATGAGGCTTTAGTCATTACAGGTAAGGCGAAACTTTCTAGACTACAAAAAAGGGACTCCCATAATTACTGCGACTTGGCTTTCTGTGAAGTAGGACTTGCAAATGTCCTTGTGGCCTTTGGTTGGAACCGTGAGTGTCCAGGCTGACGCATCGGAGGAAATGGTTTTCTAGAATGTTGCTTCTGCTGATTGCCAGAATCATCTTCTCGTCTCTTCACCCACGAGCCCTGCTCTTCTTTATGCACTTGCTTCGTTTTACTCATTAGTTGTAAGCCACTGCAGGATCAGAAGAGCTTTGAATAAATAAAAAGAGGATCTCACATGGGAATCTGGGGGAATATGATGGTGGCAGGTTGCAGAAGATGCCAGTGGTGAATAAGTGGGATTTTCAGGATTTGCTCTTATTTATTTATTTACATTTAAAATTTTTCTAGGCTGTCCCTTACTGAAGTCTCGGGACAGTTTACCGATACAAAACAATAAGGCTTTTTCTGAAGGAAGAACTAGAAAGTGGCACTGGAAGGGAGATTGAGGGCAGGCAGAAAAGAGGCCCACTGCCTCCGGCGGGCCTTGTGGAAGATGGCACCCTAAGCCAGGGTTCCTGGGCCCCTGGGCCGCCTCTGAGGGGCTGCAGACATTCAGACACTGTCCAGTCCATGGAGTTGGGAACCAGAGCTCCAGTTCCTGTGCCCCATGCCCTACCCCCGTGCCAGCTTTCTCCAGGGCTGTCACAGAGAGGAAGGCCAAGATCGCTTCTCGCTGATTCCAGAGTGTAGGATACGGAATAACCAGTTCAAGTTGCGACAACGCAGATCCAGGCTGGACATCAGGAGAAGCTTCCTCACTGTCAGAGCAAGATGGCAGTGGAACCGGCTGCCTGGAGAGGTGGGGGCTCTCCCACACTGGGACATTCAAGGGGAAACTGGGCAGCCCTCTGAGTGGGGTGGTGTGATCTGGTGTCCTGCACCAGCAGGGGGTTGGGCTGGATGGCCTCTGTGGCCCCTTCCAGCTCTGCTCTCCTCCGATCCTATGAATGTGTTCTCAGAGAGGGGGATAAACGGACATTTCCTGGGGCAGAGAAGGAAGCAGGCTGCAGGGGTGAAGAGAGTTTTTCCCTGGGGCCTCCCCAGCCCCCTTCTCTCCTTCCATGAAATCTTGTCCGTAAATGGGCAAAAATGCCCGTCTAGCAAAAATGAAGATGGCCTCTGGCACTTCGCCTGCCCTCCGGAGGATAAGCTTATGGGATTGCCATTGTCGCAGTAAGATTGTGCCGTGAGAGAACAGTCCCATGACGCCAGCGTTTTCCTCTTCTCTGTCAAGAACTCGCTTTGTCTGTGACGCTGCGCCACTGAGTTTTCTTTCCGTGTGAGCAGGGCATCCGGTCACCGCATCCGACATCTCGGCATGGGTTGAGCAATGTGAGCACCTGAACGTAAAAGGAACTTGGGAATCCGGAGCTGGTGATTCCGCTGGGGCTCTTTCTGCAGGTAAGGGAAAATTAGAAACGGCAAGAGGTCTGTGCGGGGGTGTCCGGGGGAATCACTTCAGACCTATGCAAACACCACAGAAGAAGAAACTTGTGGCTGAATATTATAATTGCTGGAGTCTGTATTCTCTCCAAGGGACACAGTGGCTTCTTAGTGGTGGCCCCCAATTACAGAAGCAGCTCCACCCTGAAGCCCACCTAGTGCCAATGCTGCTCTCATTTGTTCCAGGTTAAGAACTGTTCTCTTGTGCTGGGTCATTTTATCCACCCTTAATAGTAATATATTAGGTCTGTGTTGGGGTATTGCGTTAGCTGACTAACAGGTCTTATGTCTTAATTTATTTTAGTCATCATAGTTGTTAAATTTGTTTTTGAAAACTGTTTTTTAAACCATACAGTGTAATTCTAATGATATTTCACCCTTGTTCGAATGTTTATATTGTGCACTTACTGTATTCTCAGTGCTATTGTAATTCACCCAGAGAGCATCTGCTATTGGCAGGTATACAAGTAGAATAATAGCAATAATAACCGTAATAATAAATGCTTTTATTGTAGTATCTTCACTCTTAATCCAACTAAATTCTCACTTTCAGACTAGGACCACACGGGTGTTTGGCTAAGACAAGCGCTCCCAAAAGGTGCTTCAGAGACACGCGTTATATCTTAATGCTGTGTTGCCCAGACGAGTATCTTTCAGATATGTTAGACTGCAGCCGACAGTCACGCTGGCTCAGAGTCGCAGTCCTCACACATCTGGAAGGCTCAGACTTGAGAACTGTGCTTTAACCGTCTCCCTCGGTGATGGACTTGTGGAAGGAAGCCAGGTCCTCTCCACCACTTTCTGAAATTAACCTTCCCAGAATGATGTTTTAATTAAAACATTACGGGGCCGCACGTACTCCTGCGAGAAGGCCCTTCCCTCCCACTGCTCCATCCCCTTGTATACCTTTGCGCCGGCCCGTTCCTTTGAGATAACTGCAGATTATCTCATTGTTCCAGCAAACGGCCAATGCAGAGAGATTTGGGGCAAAAAACAGGCCGAGCGGGAAGGACCGCCCCCAGCGATCCAGGGAGGCACGGGCCGAACGGAGCCTTGGCACTTGCCACGAAGCCCCCCGAGAGACGAGCCGTTTCCACGGGCTGGGAGTCAAGCGGGCGGGCCGGTGCTGGCAGGCTCCCGGGGGGCCAGCGCAGCACCGAAATGCTACAGATGCAGAGAGTGCGGCAAGAGGTTCCGACTGGAGAAGCTGCTGCAAATTCACCAGGAGGTCAGCCGGAAGAAGGGGTCCTTTCCTTGCCCTAAATGTGGGGTGTGCCTTCCCAGCCCCTCGCATCTGCTGAGGCACCAGAGGACCCACTGGTCCCCGTGGGGGAAGGAGAACTGGCTGGGCGTGCCGTGCGGGGCCCAGGCGCCGGAGGTGTTGCACCCCTGTGCGGCCTGCGGGAGGCGCTTCGGTGGGTTCCTTGCCCTCCTCCAGCACCAGAAGGACCACGACGAGGCCCAGCCCTGGCCCTGCCGGCAGTGCGGCGACGTCTTCATGTACCGGAGCGAGCTGCTCATCCACGAGGAGGGGCACCTGGAGGAGGCGCTGCGCCTGCGGGCCGGATGTGTCGGGAACTGCATCTGCCAGTGCTCGCTCCTGCTGCACTTCTCGTCCCGCGGCGGGGGGCGCGGCGGGGACCCCAAGCCCGGCCCGCGGGAAGCGCCCGGCCCCGAGGAGGAGGAGGAGTCCTTCTTGTGTGCGCAGTGCGGGCTGCTGTTCAAGCTGGAGATCAGCCTGAAGGTGCATTTCCGGTACTGCCACGAGGAGGTGCCGCCAAAACGCGAGTCAAATCGCGGCCCGCATTCCACGCCCCCGTGGCCTGGCGGGGGCCACGCGGAACACCAGGGCAGCCGGCCGCTCCTTGGGGGCGGCCAGGGTGACGCCGGCCGTCCCCGGCCTCCCTCGCCACCCGCCGCCCCGCACGTGTGTGCCGTCTGCGGCAAGAGCTTTGTCTTCCAGTCCACGCTGCGCAAGCATCAGCGGAAGCACCGAGCGGGGAAGCCGGGGGCCGTCCCCCAGCAGGACGCCAGCCCGGGCCGCGTGGGCAGCTCGGGGGGCCCGAAGTCCGTGTGCGTGACCAAGAGGCTGCTCAAGTGCCAGGAGTGCGGGGACAAGTTTGTGTACAAGTGGCAGCTGGCCGCGCACCTGAAGGGCCACGGCGAGGAGGGCAGCTACGACTGCCCCTACTGTGGGAAGAATTTTGGGTGCGTGAGCAGTCTTTGGAAGCACCATCAAATACACCTGGAGGAGGCCGCATGTAGGAACGGCCCATCGCGAACGTGCGCCGGTGCGCTCGCCGGGAACCGGCAGTCACACGCCCTGGAGCAGCTTTACCACTGCGAGTGTGGGAAGAGCTTCGCCCGGCGCTACCTGCCCATCCACCGGGCCTTCCACGCCGGCGTGCGGTACAGGTGCCTCCTGTGCGGGAAGGTGTGCAACTTCCGCGGGGCGGCGGCCTCGCATTGCAAGAGCCACAAGGATCTCTCCCCGTGTCCCAAGTGCGCGGAAACAGGCGCCTCGGGGCCGTGCTGCTGCATGATCGAGAGGATCTGTGTCGCACCGGGGCCGCACGGGCGGGAGGGACTGGGCCCGCCTGGCGTGGGGCTGTCTCCCAGGCACCTCTACCCAAAGCACGGGGAGCAGCTCCCCTCCAGAAGTGGTCGTGGCTTCAAGGAACAGCCCCCCACGGGGAAGCAGGGCGCCCGGCCAGCGCATCCCAGGGCGCAGCGCCGGAAGCCGGAGCGTCGTCCGGCCTTCCGACCGAGCCCCGCAAAGCCTTACAAGTGCAAAGACTGTGGAAAGGCGTTTGCCCACTTCGGTTGGCTGACCGTGCACCGCAGGGCGCACACGGGCGAGCACCCCTTTCAGTGCGCCGAATGTGGGAAGACCTTTGGCCACCGGGGCTACCTGGACCTGCACTGGAAAATACATGCCAGGGAGGGTGTTTGACGGCTTCGGGAGGCCGTGACGGCGCTGCTCCCTGGCGGACGCGGGGGAGGCTGGGTGCCGTGATGGAGCCGAGCCGGGCTGGCTTCCCCGTGGAGATGGCGGGCGAGGTGGGAAGGGGCTCGCAGGACTTGGACCGTCTCCAGAGGCCTTCTCCATCTCGTCGGTGGCTTTCTTTACATAGCTTTTAACCCGTGCCTCTCTTGCCACCAAAAGCCGTCATTGCTGCCCACTTTCTCAGTCTTGCCTCTAGAAAAAGCCCCCTCTGGTCTCAGAACACGTAAGCTGGGATGTGGAGATGTTTACACAGGCGCATTGAGCACCCAAGGCACCTTTTAGGGGCGCCAGTGTCCGCTAGCGTGTCTTCTTGGCTGCTGGCAGGAGTTCTCATTAAAGTTCTTTTGAACTGGGAGATGCAGAAACTTTAGTTTCTGGAAGAGAAGTATGCCTTTTTTCCAGTATTCTGAAAAGGGCAGTGTCTTAAGTCTGATCTAATTTCATCCTGCCCAGAATATATGGGGAAATGCATCAAAGGTCTGGCATCCTTTGATAAATAGCCAAAACATTTGTTCTTGGTTTAGCTGCCACGGCTCCAGCGAGAGAAGCACCGTTGACACTTTATTCTGGGTATTTAATGGGGAACGGAGGCTGGATCGATGCCTTGAGGCTTCTCCTGTGCCATTACTTGAATAGTTTGGAGCACCCCGATTTAACATGGTGCGCCGCATGGCTCCGTGGCGCACTGAATTGTTCTCCCGCTGCACATCAGTGCAAAGGCATGCGGAACGTGTTTCCGCTGTGTTAAAAGTGCTTAGTTTTTTCGTAACTGAGGCAAGTTGACTTGATTTTTTTAAACACGCCCTCCCCACCCGCGCTTGGCCACAGTGAGCAGGTGGGCTTTGGCTGGATTCAGCGGGGTCTTAGGGTTTATTTATGGGGCTTCATCAGCCGCTCTGCAGGAGGGGCTTGGCACAACACTGGCACCAGCGGGTTTGGGGGCATCCCTCCTGTCCCCAGGGTCCAGATACCTCATTCTTTAAAAATTGGATCACACCGTTTAAAAAACAAACATGCTACTGATTTAGGGACATGAAGATTTTTTTTCTTGACAGACACCTAAAAGTTTCCTTTCTGTTATGAAAGAGCGACTGATGGGGTTGTATAGTTTGAAGTCCTGGACTCATATGCCCCTCTGTCCTTTTCTATAAAAAATCCAAAAGTTTAAGGAGAAAGGAACCATAGGAAATACACTATGTCTGTTACACACCTGAAGCGATCAAAATACTGATCTCGGAAGCTGATTTTAAACATGCTTGTTCAGAGAAGAGCCAGCTGTACAAGAGTGACTTTTTGCGAGCAAGTAATTGAATGGAAAGAACAGGAGAGTCTTAGCTGTGAAAAGTCACACTTGAGAATAGTGGCTCATGTTTTTGTAATGCTTGCTATAAAAATGTTATTAAACATTTATTTTGGGATTGTCCCCTTTTCGGCCTGAAAAGTGGGCATTTGTATACATGTGCTTAGTTCCAAGGACAAAATGATCAGGGTGGTTGGCGAATTGGGGAAATCCTGCACGCGTGTTGATCCCGTGGCCAATTCAAGGATTTTTATTTCCCAGAAACTGCCCAGAATGTGAATGGCGGGTTTTGTGCTATTCTTGTACTCAGAACAGGGGCACAAGCCATGCATCTTGGTTGTTTGGACTGGGAGGCCAAAGGATAGCACTGTTTTGGGGGGTGGGGGGAAATCCGGAGGGACAGAGCCCCAGGGACTCCCCAGCATGTGTCCCGTCTCCCTAGTTCTTGGTCGTGACATGACACCCCTCACTTATTAGCTTAACATGAACTCCCGCCTAACCCACCACACAGGGAAATGGTGAGGAGGAAATGGAGGGCGCGTTCTATAAGCCACTTGGTGTTTCTAGCAGCAGAAAAGGTGGGATTTCAGTAAAACTAGCTGAATTCATGGGGTCAGGGTCATCCCCCCCCCACCCCCCACTGGAAATCCACCTCTTTTTTCTTGTCCGTTTCCTGAGAGGGTGAAAAAGGGCAGGCACAAGGTGCAAATTGCATCCAGAACCCGTTGGCGAAACATTTGTCTCCCTTTGGGGCAAACGTATGACCCACCAAGCCCAACATGGCCCACCAGGAACACCAGTTGGCCTCCAGTTCTTGCCAGCTGGCCAGGACCGTGAAAATGGAGGCTTTCTGGGGGTCCGTCCCTCTCAGGCCAGAATATTCCGAAGGGGCAGCTCTCGCTGCCACGGATCATGCATTCAAGGCATCGTGGTGGGGTGGCCAGGTGGGAGAGCGGGGCCCAGTGACCTCAGCTGTGGCGCTGGGCTGCTCAGCTCGCGTAAACCCGTAATCGCCTTCCTGGGAAGCCTCAAGACAAAGCAAGCCAGGTTCTGGCAGTTCTCATCTGGCACGTCCAGACGACACCAAGCTGGGCAAGGTTGAGCTATCCCATCTACTGTTCTCACAGTGCCCATGTTCCCCAGGGCAGGCACGCTGCCTCTGCTGCTGGAGGGATCACGGAGCCAGCAGGACGTGCGTCCGTGGAGGGCCTCCTCCTCCATGAGTTTCCCTGATCCATCCAGGCCGGTCGCCCTCACTCCCATCTTGCAGGAACCATTTCCACCACGTGGACAAAGGGAGAACCCTCCGAAGGAAACGCTTGGAGACAAATGCAGGAAACGCACACTGTCGTCCCGGCTGGCTGAGAGTACGTGCCACATCTGGTTCTTTGGCATAACTGAGCCGCACACAGGTGTGGGATGCACCTGTGGCGATCGGAGAGGTACGCTAGGTGTGGATCCCCCCCCTCCCCCGGTGAACTCCGCGCTCAAACCGAGAAGGGGAGGTTTGGGCAGGTTACTGTCAAAAGGCACCCCAGCATCCAACACAAGCTGGTTTCCATCTTTCCACACAACTGAAATCCACATGCCGTTAGCCTGTTGGTTTTTAAAAACACTTTATGGAGATATATGCAAATTAGTCCACCGAACGAGTTGCAGAAAATGCTCGAATGACAGCAAGCAAGAGCGGCTCCATGCCCCCTGCCCGCCAGGCAGCCACCCTCCTTGCATGTACCAGAACACACACACACATTTCCACATCGACACAAGCGTTTCCCGCGGCTCTGCCACCTTGCGCTTTTGCCAGCCGCGCGACGACGGCAGACCTGGATGGCACGAACCGGCCCCGAGCACTAACCCAGGCAGGACCTGAGGGGTGGTCCCCACCCACAAACAAAACCCTTGGGATGCACACAAGAAAGCAACGTCACGGGAGGAACGTCCTGCAGGGAGGCTGGGCAACTCGGTGGCTTTGCTGCAGCCGTTCCCCGCGGCACCAGGCCAAGGATTAGCGCTCGATCACTCACCCCCCGTCCCAGGTCCCAAACCCTCACGCTCCCAAACATCCCCGCTCTTACACAGCACGCAGTAAGCTCTAGGCAGACACACACGGGCAGGCAGCCTCTCGCGGGGCCTCCCGCACCGCACACGTGGATCCGGGGCCCCGTCCGACCGCCTGCGCCCACGTTCGGCCTCCGGGAGCACCGTGCCAGCTCCTAGCTGCTGGCCACGCACATCCTTCTGTGTCTGGAGGAGCCGCGGGGGCGGCCCCTTCCCCGGCGGAAGGCGCCGGGGGGGCCGCGGGCCGCCCCGGGCAGCTGTCCCCGGCCAGCGCTGGCCGGGGGGTACCCGGCGAGGGCCCCATCAGTCTGGAGAGGGAAGTAGAGCGGGGTGGGCTCGGGCGGCGTCTCCGCGGCCTGCGGGGCGGTCTGCGAGGCCCGCTCCTGCCGGCTGGCGCGCTCCTGCCGGCTGGCGGCCCGCTCTTGCCGCAGCTGGCGCAGCTCGTCCCGGATGTCGGTGAGGACGCACAGCAGCCGCAGCTGCAGCTCCCTGTCCCGGGCCCGCTCGTCCCGCTGCTGGGCCCGCTCCACCTGCCACATGGCCAGCTCCTGGTGGTACAGCTGCCCCCACTGGTCCTCCAGGTCCATCAGGCGGTGGAGATTAGTCCTCCAGGCGTCACGGTCGCCCTCCCGCTGGCGGGAGCACCCTGTGCCCCGCGGCAGGGGCGGCGGGGGCGGGCCCGGCTCCGCCGGGGGCGAGGCGGAGGCCGGCGGGGACTCCTCGGCGAGGGCCCCGGCGGTGAGCGGGGAGCCGGACTGCCGCTCCTCCTGCTTCTCCCACAGGGGCCCCATCAGTCCCCGCGGCAGGCAGCCCAGCTCGGCACGCTGGCTGGCCGCCTCGTCCTCCTCCGGCCGAGCGGGGTTCAGCACTCTGCCCGGGGGCGCGGCGTGGCCGAGGGCGTCCTCCGGCAGGGAGGTCGCCGACCCGTGCGAGTCGCATCGGCGCATGAGCGCAGCGTGCCGCCCGGGCCCCCTCGTGTCCTCCTCAGCAGAGAGCTGGCACTCGAGTCCCCGGCCGTCCGGCTCCCGGCCTCCTTGCTCCTCCTCCTCCTCCTCCTCGGACGCCAGGGACTCGTTCCTTAACGGCGGGGAGACGGCTGGCATTTCCGGCGTCCGCAGCTCTGGTCCCGAATCGGCTGCAGCAGGAAAGACGGCAAGAGGGAAAACTGGTCAATCCGGGCCTCTCGCTCACGCCCACACCCATGACAGACACGCCCCGTGTCCTATCACGTCGGGCTTGGCTTTGCCGGAAGGACCAATCACTGATTCCCCTGTGGCAGCAGCCATGGTCAGACGGCCAGGTCGGCACTTCCAGAGATCAGACAAGACGGGTGGCTCTTCTCCCATCTCCTGGCTTCCAGCCAGGCCAGCCTTCTCCACCCTGGGGATCTCCGGACCGGGGGGGGGGGGGCAACCTCCTGAGTCCCCCATCGGGAGGTCCCCGGGCAGGAGGGGGCTGCCCTAGTGGAAGGGCAGGGCTGCTGCCAAGAACGTCCTTCCCCAGCTCCATCCCATGGGGCGTGTCGACCGCAAGGACATTGTTTCCTGACCACTGGACCGTGCCCCCCGCAGCACCTCCCCGACATGGAATCTGGGCTGAGAGAGCTTTAATGCTGCTGGTCCAGGCAGGCCTGAACTGGAAGGACCAACACTCTGACTTGGCGGGTGGCCCTTCGTGAAGGAACCAGTGGTTCCCGGAGGACGGGGCTCTGGCGGGGTCGGGGGCACCTCCGGCCCTTACCTGAACTGCTCTGCCCTTCGCCTCGGCTGTAGTCGCAGAGCAGGGAGGGCTCGGGGCTCTGGACGGTGCGACGTGGCTCCAGGGAGCCCTCCATGTCCGGCGACGAGGACGGCTGCCCGTTCGTATCAATGTAAATGCTGGCATGGCTCGGGCCCGGCTTCATGGCCAGGAACGACGGCTTTGACGCGCCGGGGAAGAAGATTTCTGCAAGGCAAGAGAATGGCCGGCTGCGGGGAATGGAAACACGGCTGCCACCTGTGAACCCAAGGCCGCACCTTTCGACGGGACAGAGGCCCACGAGCAGCAGCAGCAGCGGGGGTAGGCGCCTTCCCCGGCTGACTCGCCACGCATCCCTCACGGGCAAGCCTGCCCAGGGAACAAACCCTTTTTGGCGATACTTGTGGCAACTAGAGAGGGCCAGAGCAAATATTTAAGCAACGGCGTGATCCGCTGCAGACTTGACGTTCGAAGGATCCTACAGAGGGCAAGAGGAACATGAAGCGAGGAACGCCCAGACAGCTCGTTTGGGCACCTGAAAGGTTTCCGCTCCCCACTCACAAGGAGAGGGAGCCGAGATCCCACCCGGCTTCTTCATAAGGTATAATTCTGCATCCCACTTGAAGAATCCATATTAGGGTGCAGACCAGCGCACAATTTTATTTTCTTAGCCGTTCTGCCCAGTGGTCAACAGTTCTCCGTTCGGCACAGCCGAGGGGGGATCAAAGGCGCATCTCGGCTCTGGAAGGAAATTCTGAGTCCATCCTTGTGCTGCGATGCCACTGAAAGGTTCAGTACCCAAAGGGCAAATATCTACATGCGTGATACCGTGCTGGCTTTATATGAGAATTTTCCCATCCTTCCAATGCACAGGGTTACCTAGAAGGCTAAAACACGCCAGTGCTATTCCTATGGGGAAGCGTTTTGGGTGAATTCTTTTTCCATAGTGGACAAATTAGCAATTGGGAAAAATTGTTGATAAGAATTTGACCCGTGTGAAGCACATGATTTAAGTAAAAGAACAACAAAGTAAAATCACTATTTAAACTAATATTATTATTCAGCTTGGATTTACATATTAAATTAGTTATGCCGTGAGGCAGTTTCGAAATAACTTCCAGATCTGTGTGTGGTGGATGCTGCAAGATATTTAAATACCCCCATAAGGATTTATGCTGGGATAAAGCAAAACTAGCCAGAAATAAGAAATGGGGAAACGAAGCCAAGCAGTACAGCAGGACCATTCAAACTGGCTGTTTTTAGACCAAAAAACCCACTGTATTAGGTTTGGGGCTTTTTTCTGTCTAAAAATTCATAGGATTGCACTGTTCATAACCAGAGCGGGCTGTCTGAATTTTCTTTCCCATGCACCAAAATGTCTTGGGCCTGACCTGAATAAATAAATAAAGGAAAAACAAGACTTTGCGCTCTTGTACAGCAGCTCTCTCTTTGGTGAGATTCTGCACTGACGAGCAAGTCTGGCCAGCAGGGTCCCCACCGCCCGTGCATTTCCGGTGACTCGGGGCCAAAAGAGGCAGGGCTTTTAATGCCGACGGTGGATGCAGGGAGATGGAGCCAGACTGCTGCTCCTCCAGCTAGACTCGAAATGAAGAAGAAAAGCTGCCACTCTTAGACAGGGATTTTAAGTAGGGCCCGGTTTGGCCGTGGGGGCCCGTGGATGGTCACAGGAGGAGCAAGGCCTAGGGGAGAAAGGAACCCTCCCCATTCCCGTGGGGCGATCCCATTCGATCGCCATCCTCACGCAGAGCCGAAATGGCAGGGCATTTCAAAACCGGCCCATGGGGCCCCCAGAGGCAGGGACTCACCTGGGTCCAAGACAATTTCGGGCTCCGCATCGTGGGTAGGCTGCAGGAAGGTTGAGGCCACCATCTTCTCCAGAGGTGTGAGCCGTGGCTTGTGGGGTGGCCCAGGCCGCTGCACGGGGAGGGGCTTCTTGGCCGTGATCTTCTTCTTGACGTCCAGCCTCAAGTCCCGCCATTTGTGCTTCAGGTCATCGATGGAGCGCTCAGTGTAGCCGAGGAAATTGACCCTGTTCTGGATCTGCGTCCAGAGCTGCTTCCGCCGGATGGGGTGAGCCCGGAAGGACTCGGACCCGTACAGGGCGCTGAAGTGCCGGACGACGTTCCAGACCAGCGTTTCTGTCTCGTCGTTGGAGAAGTTGGCTTTCCGCTTGCGACCGGTCGCATTGGCCGGGGAGGCCGCCGCAGAAGTAGAGGGGGGACAGTCAAACCGTGCTCCCCATCTGTCTGTCTCAGCTGCGGAGGAAAACATTGGATTCCACGGGCCGGGAGGAAAGGGTGGAAGCAGACGCCCCGACAGCCAGTCATTCAGCCGTTGCGGCACCGGCACCGGCTGACTGTCCCCAGTCCGGGGCACGAACCCACGTTATGCCTCCAGCGGTGCTAGCGCAGGACAGACCAAAGACGCGTCCCAGTCATGCAGGCACATACAGAGGACACCTGGAAGAGGAGGCAAGAAGATGGCTGGGGGGGGGGACACGCCTGCCTCTCTGAATGGCACAGCAGTGGCAGACGGGCCGCTTTGAGGACCAAACGCAGAAGGGCTGGATTTCACACCCACCCGCACATTTCAGCTTAACGCTCTTACTAACAACGCTGTGGAAGCGTTGGCGCCCTTCAGAAAGGGAAAACCTGGCACTAAGGCTGGGAAACCACCCAAAAACTGCTGGGCAGAGGAAAGGGGGTGGAGCCAGGAAAGGGGAGTGGCCACCTGGGTACAGAGGCCAGCTGGGCAGGTCTTTGAGAAGTTCCTCTCCTGCAGCTTCCGTTCCTGGAGGGTTTTATCATCCATGACCCTGGATGGGTTTTAACTCCTGAAAGCAATGCCTTCAAAAAACGGAGGAACTGATTCCAGTCTTAAAACAGTATTGTGAGCACACTAGAACTAAAGAAGTTTAAGTATCGCAACCCTAGGAGTGTATGCGGAGAATTATATCAGCCATTCCTGGACGTTTTATCAAAGGGACCCACAAGTAACCTATGATGTGTAGAAGCAAAAATTGGGAGCGACCGTACGCCTCTTCCATCCCACCGGCCTCCGAACACACCCAGCCCACCCTCTTTACACTGCATTTATACCCTGCCTTCCCTCCTCTGGCAAGGAATCCAAAGCAGCATACAAGTTTATCCTCCTCTCCATTTTATCCTCACAGCAACCCTGCAAGGGAGGTCCGTGACTGGCCCAAAGTCCCCCCAGTAAAAAGGCATATTTTTACTTCAGTAACTCCAAGCAGAAGGAATATGTGAGATTCAAAAAGCACATTCACACAGACACCACGGCAAACGATGGATACTGCGTGACCTTGTTCTTGTTGCGCACTGAGAATCCTCATGCGTTAAACACAAATGAGTAATTTCCCTCCGTCCAACTATTTCGTACAAGCGAGCTGGAATGTGAAGGAGAACATTTTGCAAAGCCAAACGGAAAGCGCCACCATGACTTGCAGCTTCCACAACTATTTTCTGGGAATGACTGTAAGTTAGGACAAAACTGGAAGTGAGGGTACAAATGTTTGATTTGCCTTGTGACACCATCTGATCAGCCTTCCTGACACTGGAGTGTAGCCCATGCCGAGTGAGGGCAAAGCTTCCAACCCTCACTCTGAGTTAGCTTCATGACATCACCATGTGGCAAAGTCTGATTGGCAAGGAAAAGTCCTTGGTGCTCTTTCATTTCTGAGATGCTGGCAAAGCAGTGGGTGGGCAAGGAAGAGAACCACGGAATAGAAGAGGTATTCTAGGGAAAGGTTTTGGAAATTTTCGGCTGAAGGCAACTATTTGGGGACCCCTTTCGGGGGCTGGGAGGCGACCCCAGCTGTTCCAAAAACAATGCTTCTTAGACTTTTCTGTGAGGTCAGATGAGAAAAGGACATTCCTAAACAGTTTCCTGGCTCCAGAGAGACACCACAGACAACATAAAAGCATTAAACTGCATTTCTGACTTCATTCTCCATTTTGCAGGGTTTCATCAGACCACTAGGCTGCCGTCCCCCGGCCTGGTGCCCCCCCCCCCCCGATGCATTAGACTACAACTCCCAGCTTGCACAATGCAAACAGATCCGATCTGCAACCCTAATAAAGCAAAACGATGGTACGCTTCAGGATCTCGCTGGCACTTGCTCCAGGCGAACCATCTGGGCCAGAGGGTAGCGCACAAGACTCCCAGCCCTGGACTGGCCCCCCCCCCCCAGCATCTTGTTCACGCAGAGGCTAATCGATTGCCCAAGGGAAGCCCACAAGCAGGCCAGGAGTGTGACAGCGCCTTCAAGCCCATGTTCCCCAGCAACTGGGGTGTCTCTGGTACTAGAGGTGGCATTTAGCCATCAAGTCTAGCAGTCAGTTTGCTTTTGCCACACTGGAGACCCTTTTGCACCCCGTAACTCAACAATCCAAGGTACAGCCCTTTCCTCGTGGCCATACCAGGGCTTTGGCCTACCTTACCCATCAGCCCCAGTCAGCAAAGTCAGTGATGAGGGATTGGGGGAATTGTAGGACAAAGCCTCTGGAAGGTCTTAAGCGGCAAGCTTCCAATTTCCAGGACAAGTTCCCTTCGTTCTGCCCTCAGAGTCACGAACGCACGTTGGACTGTGTGCCAGGGACCGTGTGGCTTGGGAGACACGGTGCGGCCGTGGGCGAGTCGGACCGTTTGCATGCGCTAGGCTTCAAATCAGGTTCTCACACTGTGTAACAAGCGCAGAAAATCAAAACGGGGGCATTTGCAATCCCAGTGGCTGTTCTGGGTAACAACACACACACATACACAGTGTGAAGTTGCTTCAAACCAAATCAGGGTTTAAACAAAATCTTCTGCCAAAGACCTTTCAGCAGCTCTTTGCCATCCTGAGCCGTTTTGGCTGACCGTGCCTGCTAGTGCAAGGTGAAAAAAGGGGTTCCTCTGAATGAACCCTAATTCCACAAAGATTTGCAAGAACCTTTCACCAGGCTGGGGAAACAAAACATGGGAGAAGGGAAGGCTCAGGTCAGATCCAAAAGATCGCCCAGGCATGGCATCCACCTGGTCGAAGGTTTAGCTGCAGCTGCCGCCAGGATGAAGTCTTGCAGGCTGAACGAATTGGATCTTTCGAGTTGTCAATGAAAATGTTGACCCAGCTCTGAAAGCACGCTCTGAAAAAGGGCAAACTCTCATTAGGAAAGGATTTGAAAATAAACCTGCCAAGATTGTACTGATTTTTGGTGTAACTGTGCTTAGAATATTGTGTGCTCTTGTTCTCCTTGTACCTGAAAAGGACGTTACTGAGCTGGGAAAAGGCAGAGATGGTCATCTTGAAGGGGTTGTGGCAGCTGAGATCGTTTAGCTTAAGAAAAAGGCGAGCAAAGGGTGGCAGGGTGAGCGGGGGGAGACAACCCGTGGGAGATCTGGGACTGATGAACGGAAGCCCTCTTCACCCCATGCATGGTGAGACTATGGAATCCAGTCCCACAAAATGTAAGGGCGGCAGCCAATTTGGATGGCTTTACAAGTGGACTGGTCAAATTGAAGCAGCTCTCCCGGGTTGCTTGGCCGAATGGCTCTATGCAAGCTCCCACAGCAGAGGAAGGATGCCCATGTCTGCCAGATGCTGGGGAACATGGGCAGGAGGGTCCAGTTCCACTCAAGTTCTGCTAATGGGTTTTCCGTGGGGGCATCCGGTTGACTTCTGCATGAACTGGACGCTTGACTGGATGGACCTTTGATCTGACCCAACAGCAGATTCGATCTGATGTAGCTACTGGCACTCAAGCTTTCTGCACAGAAAGCACCCCCCCCGCCCCAAAATCAGAGCTTTTACTTTTGCATTACAATCCCGCTGCTTGTAAAAGCTGCGAACAGGTTCCAGTTTCCGCCTGGGTGCAAAGTAACTCCTGACTTCATTCTCACTGATATGAGAAATATTATGCATTATTTCCTAATGGAACGGTGAAGCGTTTTACTTGCTTGGATGGGTCACAGAACTGGCAAAACTAATGCCGTAATGAGCCGCCTCTTTGTCACTCTGACCACCGGCATCGCCTGTGTGGTTAAAGCACATTAAAAGGAAACCCCCAAACAGGGACGGCTCTCGCGAGGAGCAGGCTTGCCGCTTCTGCACAAACCGCACCGCAGCGCAAGGGAGTTTTCTCGTAGAAAACCGCAAGCCGTGTGCCCGAGAGCCACACTGCTTCTGTGCCCCAAGGGAAACCAAGGACCCCCCGCATCCACGGCCGTCGGGGGGTGGGGGGCTTTGTTTCCAGCTCCATAGAATCACCACAGTCACCTGCTGCTGCAGAAAATGGACACTTGCGGGGGGGACATGGTGGGCAGCTGGCAGGTCAACACAGAGCCCCCAAAGTGCCCAGCCTGTGATTATAAAAACTGCCCGCTTGCGGGGGCTCGCAGTGCCCCCTTCGAGGGATCCACGGCGTTTGTGCCAAACCCGGACCACTGGGGCGTGATTGGGTCCGTATCAGAGGGAACAGGGATTGGGTGGTGGGGCAGGGCTGGGGCAGGGCTGCTCAACAGGTAGGCTAGCGTGATTGCGTGCGGGAGGAGCGTCCTGCCTGGGCGCAGACACGTGTGAACGCGTGCCAGCGCGCGGCCGAATCGCCCGTGGCCTGGCCAGTGAGGAGGGGCAGGAATGACCTCCTGGGCCGGTCTCCGCGAGCGAGCGCTTGCGCTGGCGCCCTGGCGCACGCCGCCCCCCCGCAGCCACGCTGCTAGGCAAGGGTCTCTCAGACGCGTGTCCATCGCCCTTCGTGCGCGAAAGGGGGGAACGGAAGCCAAGACGGGGGCCCCCTCGATCCCGCGCACTTCCCGGGCGTGCCGCGTCCTGGAGAGGAGGGAACGCGCTCCCATGGCGAGAGGGCGCTCCGTCTCTTTCCGCATGCGCGCAATCCTCCGCGGCTGCTCTGCCCGTGCTCGTGCTTGCTTTTAATTCGGATTAAGGCCACTCAACCCTGCGAGAAGGCGGGCGGGCGGGCGGACCTGGGGCCCGTCTGCCTCCCGGGTGGCCGGTGGCCTGGCGACCCCCAAAGGTCCCCCGCCCGCGCCAGCCGCGGCCAGCGAAGGACAATAGGCGCCGCGCCGCTTAGCTCTGCGCGCGGGGCGGGGGGCTGTTTACAACTCGGCGTGGAAGTGGCTGCGCGCGGGGCGCGATCCGGATCCGGATCCGCAGGCGACGCAGGCGAGACCGAGCGGGCGCGCGACGCCGCTTCCGAGGGAAGGCTGGGGGGAGGGCGCAGTCGCGCGTACGAACCCGACGCCGCTGGAATCCAGCCCGGCTTGCGGCCGATCGGAGCATCCCGGGCGCCCCGAAACTCCTCGGCGCCGCGAAGGCCGCGGTCCCGGGCGCGCCGTCCCGCCGCACGGCGCCCCCCTCGCTCCCGCGCACAGGCGCCGGCGCAGCGGCCTGCAGGGCGCCCGGGGGCGAGCGG